ACAATAATCTTCATAAAAAGGAAAATGCTCCATGATTTGCAAGTGGGCCGAATACTGCCAGGTTGGCCAGGCCAAGGCAGGTGAATTTTCTTCGGGAATTCACAATCGGAACCTTTGGCTAACCAAAGCCTGACCCACGAGGCAGCGAGGTAGTGTGCGAAAACCACACAGTCAAAGTTTTCAAATTTGTATTATGGGAAAAACTTAAAAGCTCATGCTATTCTCGTCCCTTATGTTCTTGTTGCGTTTACAAGACAGTGACGCATACCATTCCTTTTGTAAAATAGTCTCGTGATACGGGATTCTTCTACTGCTGCACTCCGCTTCACTTGACCAGGTTGCCCAGGCCAAGGCGGCGGGGCGGTGTGCAAAAACCGCAATCCATTAGGAGCCGGTGTCCAGTTCATCGGATTATACGCCTTCCGGACGGGGTCAAACGTCCAAGGTGCCCAATACACTTCGATACCCAATCGAGCCGGTGACCATTTCCACAACCGGAAGTGTGGGTGTGGTTCGTGCGCCTCCTCTTGGTTGGTTTGGAATCAGGGTTTTTAATCAACTTCCCAGTAGTTCACCAATCCGGATATCGGCTTTTCGTCCCCTCAATTTCGTGCAAAAATACCTCCGCCATGAGAAGGCAATGAGTAGGACTACCTCAGCAGAGGCTATTCTAGACGATTGGTCGTATGGGAGCATTTCGCGAGGTGCAAGGGACGGGTGAACAGATGCCTTAGACACCCACCCCGACCATACTGAGGATTTCGGAGACCTGGCATGAAGGCAAGGAAACTTTGACTAGAGGATTCGGATAAAGTTGTGGTGGGCTTCAGGGTTGAGAACTCCGGGATCAATCTAATCGAAGACACTGCGCGTCGCAAACTGTGGCGCTCCTGCATCTACTCAATTTCTATGTATGCATAGTTTTACTGTGTTCTGTATTTTTACCCTAGTACTGCTCTCAGCTTTCTACTTCTTCCATGTGCCCCTTCATAACTTTTCATCCAAAATGAGCAGCCGATGAACAGCACATTACAAAGTTGTATGCATTAAAAAGTTGATTACCTACAATGAATGACAAAACTCAATCCACATCAGTGTCACGGACTCACCAGCGTCTTGAAGTTCTTTAATTTACGTAGATCCCAAAGTTTCACTTGACCATCCGCTCCACCTGTAGCCAGATAGTAACCGTTTTCGGAGAACGCCACGGCCGTAACCGGTTGGTTGGCACCTGCACCATGACCGAAGTTCGCAACATTGCGGCGTTCTTTAACATCCCAGATCTTCACTTCACCGTCTCCAGTCCCGGTGCCCAAAATTAATCCATCAGGATGAAACTGTGCGCAAGTCAATGCTAAAATAGATGGTTAGAGGGGACAGTGTAAAGACAACAATCCCACAGTTATCAAGAAACAGTGCGACAGTTAAGATCAAAACAAATCTTTGTATTACACATTTTTGTGTGAACAGCAAACGGGCTTAACGTCGTAGTCATTAAGACCTGCTGTGCATTGATGGAAAGCGGTGACCTAAGCTCTGGGAGTTGGAGAAGAGAACCACATTGGACCCCTCTAAGTCAGGCGTGGTATTAAACTGTTCAAAACACCAACTTGGTTTCAGAATGAGAGCATCGCAAGCTAGTTCCACGACTGAAAGTATCTAACCATAAGTGCAAATGAGGAAGGTGGTAACCAAGACGGAGAGCCTCAGTATGGTCGAGGGTGGGTGTCTTGGGTTGTGGATGATTACCCTTCCCTTGCATCTCTCTAAATGCTCCTATACAACCGAGCGTCTCAAATAGTTTATCCTGTGAAAGCCATACTCACTGCCTCTTCCTCCCTTTCTCCGTGGCGAGGATGCTTTCCCACCAGGATAGGAGGATGAAAAGCCCACATCCGGGGCTAAAACCGGGTCGGTGAACTACTGATAGTTCACCTAGGGAAGTTGGCTAAAAGCCCTGATTCCAAACCAACCAACAATCACACCCAACCTCACCTTCCTGGTTGTGGCAGTGGTCACCAGCTCGATTGGGAATCGAGGTGCGTTGGGCACCTTGGACGTGTGACCGCATCCAAAGAGCGTATGATCCCATGAAATGAACAACAGCCCCCAATGGATTACGGTTTT